ATATAATGACCTTGAGTGGTTTTTTTTTGTTGCTCGAAGTTCCAAATAGTATTGTATGTCTTTAGTTTTGACTGAATGAGAAGAGTGACACCTCACAGGTTGCATATTGGTCTTTCTGTCACTGAGCAAAACAGTCATAAACCCAGCAATGCTTTTCTGTTATGAATCCATAGAAATACTAACATCATATCTCAAAATCACACTGTGAAAGGAATGAAAATCATTACCTTTGTTCAACCTTTGCATATGCTGACCCTACTCCTTTAGTTGGTTTTTGAGTAACACCCAGGGAAACTTCTCTTGGAGAATTTGTTGGCATAAAACATCTGTGATGTGGCATGTAGCCCAGAACAATACCAGAAGTCCTACAATTCTGACTGCAATCTTCTTCTTCTGTAAGTGAAGAAACTGAGGGCCAAGAAGATGAAGGAACTTTCTTTGGGGCCAGACTTAGTTCTTGAGCTGGGATTAAAATTCAGATGTCCTGATTTTCAATCTCTTTATTTTATACTTCATGGTTTTGTCCAAAGTGACCACCTGATCATCCTACTCTGAGTGAATAAATATTTAACATTCCAGATAGTAATTTATTAGAAGAAATGGATTTTGCAGTCATGAATTTTCAGCTCTCATATTCATCTTACTATTAACTTTTTATTTCTTGTATTCTAAACTTGCATATGTTCCCATTTCATCTCTCTATTGCAATACTTGAATTTTTTGAAAGCTTTGGTTTGGCTACTTTATTTAGTTTTTGACCATATTTTTAAGGGATATTACCCTGAATGATTTAGAGACAGCTATCCACCAAGAAGTATATAACAGAATTTCTTTACTAACTGCCAGCTCCTCTATTTATTATTGGAAGTGATAAAATCAAACTTTCCTTGATAAATTCCCCATAGACATTTTATTCTGTTTTTCTAAAATTAACATTTGACAAATATTGGCTAAAAAACATAAAAAATTTTATTTTGTCTAAAAAAAAAAAGTGAATTTGCCACACCTCAGTATGAATTATGGTTTTCCTGTTTATACCTTGATCATAAAAACAAATGCAATCTTTAAATGTTTAGTAAAACACAGATATAAATTTAATGATATGAAAAGTCCCATGAAAAATAGACTGAATATTAGTTATAGTCTAAAAGATTCTTGTATCTTTTAAAGAAGTATATTGTTTTAATCTAACAAGTTAGACTATAAACTGTGCAGAGTTTAAGAAAATAAGGAAATAGTATATGAGCTAAGACCACTAGGCCTTCTATTCCTGATTAGGATGTACAACATCACAAGTGATTATTTTTCCTACTATAACAAGAACACACAAGATGATCTTCAAAATTACAGTTTCTTTTTTTAATCCAAGAGAAATTTGGTGACAAAAGAAGCATGAATAAACTAATTCCAGGAAGTGACAAGGCCCACACAAAACTAAAAAAAAAATTTATGAGTGCTTCCATCCCTGATGGAACAAGACAAAGAAAACACACTACAGATAAGAAGCAAAGAGAAATCAGCTCAACATTTGATCAACTTTTAACATACACATTTAGACTATGTGTGATGAACAAAAATCCCAAAGAGCCCCAGCTACAGAGCAGGACTGCACTACTCAACAGGTCTCTTATTTAATCCCTTATTTAAACTGTTGTGAATGAAAAGTCATTATCTCAATGGCTGGAGGTAAGAGAGAGATCCTTAAACATTGGCTTTCCTGAAGGCCAGCCAATGGCTGCTGAAGAGTAGGAGTGGGACAGCATTACTAAACAATTCTCCCCAAAGCTTTCGTGTTATGGAAAGCTCAGCAGCCGGGTTCTAAGTACAGACAGGAATGAAAGTTTCAAGAAATACCTTTGAGCTATTAGAATGTGAGGAGTCTGTTTTAGTTCAGTGTATCGCAGACATCCTGCAGAATCTGAGAAATACTTTGAGGGGAATGAATTTAAAGACAGATCCAAAGAAAATCTGGCAGCTAGAATGTAAAGCAATACAGATTTTACCAGGAATCAGATCCCAATCTGTACTGAGTAGGGAGTATGATCCTGCCCTCAAATATCTGAAGTCAATGGTCTAGTGAATCTAAGTCAAATCACAAAAGAGAGCAAAAAATTAAAGTCACAAAAGCTCAGCTATAGATTAACTTGACTGAATAAGTGGTGTGCCTTTTTGTGAGGATAATTATTATTTTAATCCTTTAACACAAAGTAAAACATAGGATAAGAAATTACAAGATACATGAAGGAGGGAAAAAAGGCGATTTATAGTCAAGAAAAGAAATAGTCAATAGAAGCAGAATCAGAAATGCTCCCTCAGGATGTTGAAATCATCAGATAAGAATGTTAAAATAACTATGATGATTATTCTGTACAATCTGTTGCAAAAGTTAAGCAATCAGTGTGAAAAGAATAATTTCATCAGTGAAATTAAAATTATAATAAGAAATATTAGAAATTGCAGTAAAAATTAAATTAGATGGGCTTAATAACAGAAATAACAGAAGACTAAGGTGATCAGTGAATTTGAAGAGAAGTAAAAAAAATTGAACTGAAAAATGAAAAGTACTCTGAATCTAAATAAAGTCATATGATAGACTAAGCTTAACTCGTCTTTATATTAATTGAGCTCAACTCTGATTCAAGCTATATATGATAACATTAAATTTATCTAGAATATATGTAACTGAATTTCCTGACTAAGATGAGCAAGAAGTAAAAAGAAATATTTGAGGAAATAGTGGCTGAAAATTATTCAAAATTAATGAAGGGTATCAACTCACAGATTCAATAAGCCTTGCAAACCCCAAGTAATGTAAATAAAAAAATTTATACCTAGCCATGTCAAAGTCAAAGACAAAAAGGAAATTATAAAAGTATCTGGGGTAGTAACTTGAGTGGGTGTTGGGGAAAATACATTCCTTGCAGGACAGCAATCATAAAAATTAAACTTCTCACTAGAAATAGGCCACAAGACAATAGAACACAAGAGCATGTACTGTATAATCCTATCTACATGACACCCAAGACAAAATAAAACTATCTTGGGCTGGTATTGTGGCTGAGCAGTAGAACACCCACCTAGCATGGGCAGAACCCGGGTTTGATTCTCAGCACCACATAAAAAATAAAAGCATTTTGTTGTGTCCATCTACACCTAAAAAATAAATATTAAAAAAAATAAAACAAAACTATCTGTGTTCATAAAATTTACAATGTAGTTGACTCGAAGTGAGGAATTGACTAGAATGGAGCATAAGTGCACTTTCAGTGATGATAAAATGCATTATTTAACTTATTTTGAGTATTGGTAACATGGCTGCATACAGTTATCAGACCTCATCTAACTCATCATTCACTAGTACACTTTTAAATGTAAATTATATTTTATAAATATTTCAAAAGCCAATAGGGACATTAATTTCTTTAAGCAAAAATATTAACAATCATGTTATCCAGAGTTAAAGTCTAATGAATATCAAGGAAAAGCATGTACTACTCCAGAGTCACACATAGAATATTACCTGAGCAGCATCCATTGTTTGACGATGAGTGAATGCCCAGGACACAGGGCAGACTCCCCAGTAAGTGTTTTTTAAGAAACACCTGGACTATTCATTAATGCTTGCTACTGTCTGGGGTCTATAAAAACAGATAATTAAGGAAGTTTGTTATTGTTTAATATATTATATAATATAGCAAAGAGTTAGGTAATCAAGCATGTAAAAATCTGACATTATGATATAGCTTTTCTTTATTAACTCTGACCTGGTGTAACTATAGCAGAAAATTATATGTCTATAATGCCTTGTGGTGCAAATAATTGTTAAGTAAACAATAATTCATTATTAATTAATAATTATTTATTTTCAGGAAAATACATTATTTTCAATTTGAAATGTGGGTATGTACCCCATGTAATATAATTTTCACTCATTTTGACCCATTGCGCAACATATAAGGAAGAGCAAGTACATTAATAGTTAAAATATAACTATAGATATACGTACATCATCTACTAAAAGTGTAGAAAAGTCATTCATCAGTTTATGTTTTTCTTTTTTTAGTTTTAAATTTTGGTATGTTTATTGGTTCATTAAATAATACATAATAGTTGAATTTATTATGCCATATTCATACATGCACATAACATAATTTGATCAATCTCATTCCCTAGTACCTTCATTTTCCCTTCCCTTCTCTCTTGTCTCTCCCCTGATCATTTGCTCCACTGATCTTCCTATTATTATTATTATTTCAATTGTACATTATAATTGTATATATAAATAAGATTCATTGTAGTATATTCATACATGAACATGCCATAAGATGGCTGTTTGTATTCATTCTTTTACAGTTATGCACAATTAATGTCTTCTAATTGACAGTTACAAGTAATTGTAAAATTCAGAGTCTAAAAGTGGATATGAAAGTCATAAAATCCTGATGGAAAATTACATACTGAGGTTACTTACAAAAGTGTTCACCTGTATTTCCTGTTGCATTTAACTTTTTAAAGAAATTTTTGTAGAAGTCTTATATAACACCTCTAGGAATTTCATGTTCATTTCAAAATCAGAAGGAAGCAAACTAGACATGGCAGTAGAAAACACAAAATAAGTTTTTAGATGAATTTATAGAATTTTGTTATTTAATGTTTGCCTTATTTCATAGTACATTCAGAAGGAGTTATTAAACCGTAATGTTTTTGTTTTGTTTTGTTTTACATTTAGGAAGTTGATGTGGCTTTCTAAATTAAATTTATCCTATGAATAAGATTGCCACATTATGCTGATGGGAATAGTCGCTTGTATTTATGTTAAGATGAGGAACAGAAAAAGGAGAAAGATGCTACACTGCTAAAACCCCTGATGCATTCTTAGATACTTAACATTTGTTTGCTTTGCAAGCAATACTTTTAGGGAAAGGTTTGTGTTTTACTTTTTTATGGAATGGGAGATATAATAAAAACATATTAAATCCTATTATTTACTATGGTTTCAGATACTCATGCCAAACAACTACCAACTATTCTCCACTGTGCAGCAAAATTTGGTTTAAAGAACCTGGCTATTCATTTGCTTCAATGTTCAGGAGCAATCTGGGCATCTAAGATGAAAAATATGGATGGTTCAGACCCAGCACAGATTGCTGAAAGGTGTGGTCACAAAGAACTCAAGAAAATCTTCGAAGATTTCTCAGTAAGGTTTTTTCTTATTATACCTCTAAAACTCTTTTATGAAGTAATTGTGTGTGTGCATTTGCACATGTACATTGCTTTTTTGAAAATAATATTGTAGCACGGCTAATTTGCAGTATCTGTTGGTTCTGATCTATCCATCATCTTAAGAAGCATTTTGCAAGATTAGTCAACTTGTTCTAGCATTGCCATGAACCAACTTTGATTTCCAATTTTAAACATCATGTTTGAAACCTGCTTTATCTGACTTCTATAGAGCCTGTTTGATATTGAAAAGAAATAAATTTATTACTTTTAGTCTTCTTCTAAAATCAAGGTAGTTTTAGACACACGAAAACAGGTCAGTGTTATGTTAAATGAATGCATTTTGATAATAGTTCAAAAAGTCTACACAATAAGTAGTTAACTTATGTTGCTGAAATTTATTTCTCTTATTATTTATGTTGAAATCCCAAATTTCAGAACATTCTTTAATGGATGCTAGTTTTATAAAAATAAAGCCAAGAGAAAATTTTATCTCAGTAAATAAAATACACTTTGTGTTTCCATAATCAAGTTTAGAAACCAATCTTTTTTTCTGTATGTAACAAAAATATGCACATTTTGCTGCAGAAAGTGAATTATAGTTCCAATGGCTCTTGGAAAAATATAATAGGACAATAATTATGCTGGTGAATACATCAAAATTTATCTTTGGAGCCACAAAACAGATGTAATTTTTTTGTCAATGAACAGTTAATATAGAGCATTGAAAAACTATAGACATATTCAGGTATTTTAGCATTTTTCTTGATTATCAGATTAAGTCAATATAATATTGACTTCTAAAAAAAATCACTGGCATTTTTAATTTCCAGAGAGTGAAATGACAAACAATAGCCTTTTTTTCCAATTGTAAAACATGGCAAAATAGTTAACAAGTGAGCATGGATATTATCCACTCTCTAGAATGATCTTCGTGCCATCTTTATAATAAAGGTAATAAAATTAATAAAAAATCTGATTTTTAGTCCATGTCCTTCAAACTAGAAAAGTGCATTATGTTCACTCCTGGAAAGATTTAAGTGATCCTCAAAAATGCCAACATTTAGTTAGTTCTTCTAGTTTATCTGATGGGTACATTCATTTTAACAATTATCTGCTATAACCAACCATGGTAGAACAAATTTGTAATTCCAATTACCCTGAAGACGGAGGCTAGAGTACCACAAACTTGAAGCCAATATCAGCAACTTAGCAAGACCCTGCCTCAAATTTTAAAATTAAGGAAACAAAAAAGGCCGATGATGTAGCTCAGTGGTAAAGCACCTTTGAATCCAATCTCTAGCGATGAAAAGAAAATTTTAAAATTACTGTGTGTAGTCATTGACCAGAGCAACATGGCATCTATCTGAGGTAAGTCAAGGAGTGAATCTGGCCTTGGATATTTTCCCATGATACTGCTATTCAGTATATCCAACTCTTTATCTATCCTCTAATTTTTAACCACTAATGAACATAGGTTAAAAGTTTTTCTAGAAGTTTCAGCAGCCAGAATTACTTTCTCAGATAAACCCTGATTTTCAAAGAGTGATGCTTCAGTTCCTGTTCTCACGGAAGACTGTCTTTTGACAGATGTATCCCATGCAAACTGCATGTGCTCTATAAGTGATAAAATGCTAGATAATGATGAAGGTAGTGGGGTAGAAGATGGGAATTTACAGATGTGGGAAATATTTTCTTCTCTTACATCCTCTGGGTATTTATGTCTTTGTTCCTATAATAATAGTACTGATATGAAATGATCACTATCATTCTCTCTAGGTGACTATTCACCCTTTTGCAGAGTTCTAATTGATCATTAGCCTATCAAATTTGTTGAATGATTTTTATATATTCTGTCCTCATGACTTGTAATATTTTACCAGAATGTTTTTAGTAGACATTGTAGATCAGATAGATATCAATCTATGAATGCTGTGCAGTGAGAAAGATGCTCCAAGGATCAACAGTTCTGCAAGGACATTTTAATGACTATAGATAATTTTAAGTGTAATAATTTTGAAACCTATCAAAGGCCTTATTTGCAAATGTGTGGTTAAAAAATGAAAACATGAGTTAGGCTGTGAAACACATAGAAAAATAGCTTCACGTTGATTTATTTACCACATAAATCTGGAAGTAGACTTATCTTCTTAGTTAAAGTATGCCAGATATCTAGGTATTGACACTATTCTAAGTTATGATAGCTGTGTCTAAAAAAATATTTTATTTATTTTATTTTATCTAAACCTAATAAAGGAAAACTGTGGGATCTCATTTTGCTGTTAAAATACTATATTTTAATAGTATTTGCATTGCTTTAGTTCTATAAACACACTCTGATAAATCAAAGATTTTCTCATGTGCATTCACATTTTCTATGAACTATTATTTCTGAGGAGCTAAAACGACAGATATCTTTCAAGTTGCACATTTACCAACCACCAATGGACCATACCTTTTTATGTTTAAAAAAATCTGTGTTTAATTGAAATACATTTTGCCTCTGATTGATTTGCTTATCTGTTGAATTCTTCCTAATGCCTTATCAATGTAATGTTCATTTTAGAATCTCACAGGGAGTCACAAAACTTAATAAAGTGAGTAAAAAGAAGCCATTTTGCTTTTAGAAAAATACAGAAAATAATGCATTCATAAACCAAGTGACATCCATATTTTAGTGTTAGCTATGTAAAGAAGAAGAAAGAGTTGTGAGGAGGAAGGGGAGTATGTCTAAAAATCATAATACTTAAATTATTTTATGACATCTTCTTTGGGAAGTCAATAAATTATTCATAATTTATGAACAGAGCCTCTTGTGAATTGCTTTCAAGGTTTGATGAAGTTATCTAGCTAACACCTACACTTCTTTTGTTATTGGTTCTTTTAGTTATACATAACATTAGGGTACATTTTGACATAATTATAAAAGCATGGAATATAATTTTCTGTAATTCATTCCCAGTACTTGCCCTTTTCATCTCCTCCTCCCTCTCCCCATTCCCTTCTCTTTATTATACTGATCTTTGTGCTATTTACTTTTAGACTGTTTTATAGTGTCTTGTGAATGATGGTGAAATTCACCGTTCATATACATACATAGGAAAATTAGGTCAGATTCATTCTGCTGTTCTTCCTTTATTCCATCCCTTCTTTCCCCATCTCTGTCCCCTTCATTTAGTCTACTGATCTTCGTTCTATTTTGATGGAATTCCTCCCCTCTTCCCTTTGACTGTTTTTCTTTCTCTCTCTCTTTTTCTCCTTATTTTGAACCAGCTTTCATACATTAGAGAAAACATTTGACCTTTAGCTTTCTGAGCCTGGCTTATTTCACTCGGCATGATAGTCTCTACTTCCATCAATTTACCAGGAAATTCCATAATTTCATTCTTTATTATGGTTGAGTAATATTCCAATGTGCATACATAACACAATTCATTCATCTGTTGAAGAATACCTTGGTTGGTTCCATAGCTTGGCTATCCTGAATTGTACTGCTATGAACATTGATGTGGCTATATGTGGCACATGATGATTTTAGATCTTTTTTTTATATATACTGAGGAGTGAGATATCTGAATCATATAGTGGTTCCTTTTCTAGGTTTTGGAGAAATCTCCATACTTCTTTCCAGAGTGGTTACACTAACTTACAGTCCCACCAAAATATATGAGAGTACTTTTTTCCCCACATCTTTGCCAACACTTATTATTACTTATATTCTTGAAAATTGCCATTATAACTGGGGTTAGACGAAATATGCTTCTTTATTATTTTCAGCTATTACTGAATGATAAACTATGTATTTCTACAATCTATAAAATCTTTCAAATGTTTATTCATTTTTCAGTTTCTGGCAATGTCCTCTGTGAAAATTAATATGAAAGATGGATGAACAAAGGGCAAAAAATTTGGTATTTCAATCCACAACTAAGTATGAACCACAATTTGCTAACAGAATTCTTGAGGAAACCCCAGACAATTTCAAATAACAAGTGTCAATATTGATGAATATATAATTCACTTAAAAACATATCTTTTAAGTTTAAAAAATATGGAAAAATTGAATGTAAACTGGAACCTAGCCTTAGATCAAGCAACATTTTGACAGGCTGGGGATGTGGCTTAGTGCTAGAGGGCTTGCCTTGCATCTGTGAAGCCCTGGGTTCAATTCTCAGTACTGCACACACACATACACACACACACACATACACAGAAAGGCACTTTGAGATTTAAGATAAAGCATACAACAAATATTAGTGTGTATTTTAAGCAAAATGATATAATTTTTTTCTTTTTTGTCTCAAGTATATCACCTCTCCATCCCCATCAACTTAAACCCTAACAAAATGATTGCATCAATGTGTAAATAGAGAAGGAAAATATGTCTTCCTCTGTCATCTGGTGGTGGAACTCAAGAACCAACAGTCTTTTACCTTAGGTTCAATTTTCAAAAAAATACCTTTTTTCTTTCTCCAAAATATTCATTCATATGGTTTTGGGTCAACAGTAATAAGATCTTAATCACAGAGATTCTTCAGGAAAACTTTAAAAATAGGAAAATTAGTTTTCTGTATACTTTCACTAGCTGACTTTTTAGGAACAATGGCTAATAGGCTACCCACCTCTCTTGCCATCAGGTGGTCAGAAGGTGCCTGGGATGTATTTACTCTGTGATGGGAAAGAAAGCAAGTGTTCAGTTTAAAGACTTGTTTGCTCTCACTTATGCAAAGGTATCCCTAACTAGATTTCACATTGGTCAATTCTCAATATATTTAGGTTTTTAAAAGACTGTTATTAGGGAATTCATAGATTACTGTCCTCAGCATAATTTTTTAATAGGCTAGACTACAATGAATTTTAGAATTCCAGCTTTTACTCAATATTGATGTTCTGTTAGAACTGAGGAAACTGGATTAAGTCTCATATCTGCACTTGACTGCACACATTACGAATTCATATCTCAGTTGTGCTTTTGAA